ATGTTCTCAATATAAATAGTTAAACTTTATGGTTTAAGTTTTTAAAAAAGAACATTACTGATATCTTTACCTTTAGTTAACTACATTGAATTAAGTGAATTGTAAATTATGTCAAATAAATAGGACAGAATATTCCATTTACAAAATATACTGGTATTATTTCTAGAAACTAGGTTATATTCTCTATAATAATTCTATTATGTATATATTTAAATTAATTCATTTATTGTTTTAAACTCTAACATAGTTTCTTTTTCATAAACACAAATCAACGATGAAAGTATAGAAGAAGATTTGTAGCTCATGTGGATGATTTCAGTGGAGTTTTGTTCTCTGAGCTGGATGGTTTGATCGTGGAGCTTTCATCGTTCTTCTGAACGATATCATCAGCATAAACTTCTACCTGAAGTTCAGAAGAAATATGAAAGCTCCAAACTATCCAGCTCACAGAACGAGTCTCTACCAAAAGTTATGAACATAATTAAAATGAATTAGTTTAAGGATTATAGATATTGTTCATTCACTTTTTGTTTGAGATATAAACCTCAGTGAGTTCTATATGGTATGATTTGAGATTTAAAAGATTATCGAATCAATGTCACATGAGATTTAGCTCATTATATTTTTTATCCTTATGAATTCATCTTACAAAAAAGATAAACATAATATCTAAATCTTCATTCTGCATGTTGGTCATGGTGAAACTCAAGGGATACTTTTATTAGTAAATGTACAGATTATGAATAAATATCCTTTAGTGAATACGGAATAATTGAATGCTTAGAGAAGTAAAGTATAAAAATATCAGTAAATTTATACATATTACATGAATCGTTTAAGTATCCTACATCATATTAAAAGACTAATATATTGAATGAAGAACAATCTTTTCGAAAAATTTTCATCAGATTCCTACAATTCATATATCCAACTTAATGATACGAAAAATGACCAGGTTAAGGGAAAACTACCTCGTTTAAAGCCTGTGAATATAGAATTGTCAAACAAAATAGAATACAATTGTTCATGTTGATATGACTCACATAGAATTTTGACTTGAATTTGAGTATATGTTAAGTGAAAGTGTTAAGATCCATGATCAGAATAAACATAGGTCAGATTAGGTGAGAGAAATGATAGTGCAAGTAAAATTTGATCAAATATTAAATGAAAGGCTATATTGTGTGAAAAATTAGTAAGATGTAATAAGTAGAGATGAATACGAAACGAATGAATCATGTATAGGGAGATTAATAATGATGTTTAAGCAATAGTATTATTAATAATAATAATACAAAGATTTGTGAATAAAGATAACAGAGACAATTACAATTGACTACGAAAGTACAATGGTAAAATTAGATTATTTAATAGCTAAGATTACTATTGATTAATTGTCCTTGACGTTGGCCAGGGGAATAGAAAGAGTTGAATATATTCCTTTTGTACGCATACCTCAGGTTTTTTCATCCGGTTGGCTACTGCTTCAGTCGTTTGAAGAACTTTAACTCTGATAAACTTTGGCGAAAACTTACTGACCCTATAAATAACAGATTACATTAATTTGAACTTATTCGTAAAGTATTGTCTTAGTTCATAATTGTATGACATTGGTAAAAGTTGATGAATTTCATAGAACAATCCAAATGGAAAACCATATCAAACAAACATGTAACTAAATATAAGTTTCTGATAAAATTTGAAATAGATCAAATCAACTATTAATACTTGTCGCTGATCAGTACAACACTGATACAAATTTGATTACGAATTAAATTATGTCAAATGGAACATGGGTTACAACTAAATAATTCTGTACAAGAAGAAGATTTATTGTTGTTTTGTTAAGAAAAATAGGTTCCAGAATAGTTCGCATTATTCAAAATGATTATACTCATAAATTATCCTCTATACTAACAAATGCAGATAACAAATCTTCTTAGAAAGTTTGAAATAAAAAGATATCAGAAAGGGGTTTTATGGAGATTTTAGTAATTTTATAGTTGAATTCATGAGTCAATTGAAGCTAGACCATCATGGAAAACTTGGAACCACTCAACGGCTATTTCTTCCTATTGTGGGACTCCTCAACAGTGCGCAGCTACGATCCCACCTCGAGATATTCAAACACAGGTCCTATTAGTCTTGCGCAAAAACGCTTAACGATTAGACCACTGAGCTGACCGGCATCCAACGGTGTTAATGTTTAACTTCAACCAATCCACAAAATTAAGCAACACATTCACCATTTTCACCAGTGAGTTACTATCTCACAACTGACCCGGTTGAATTCTACTGGTCACTGCTTCTCACTAGAACAATTAAAGTATCCATTGACCAACATTATGAAAAAGATCAAAAATTAATCAATTGTCATTTCATAAAATATCTAATTTTTAAATCTGATTGTCAGTCAGTCAGTCAGCTACAGCAGCTAACAATAAGTAACTAATCAAAATATGATATTGTACTATTACACAAATAAAGTATGACTTCATATTAATTTTACACTAATCAAAACAGTAATGAGGACTTATAAACAACTTGTTCACATAGATGAGTTGAATAACTCCATTATGATTTAATTGTTATCCACAACTTGTGACTAAGCTTAAAAACATTGATAATTTTTCACCGTGGACTAACTTCAATCAAAGAGCGTTTGGAAAATTAAAGGTACTCAAAACCTGCTATATCGTACCATGGAACGTTTCAGTTAAGTTCATTCGTAGCCCTACCAGGAATCAAACGCAAGTAGTTTATGTCTAGCAGTGAGCACTTAATATTCAAACCATTCAGTTGGTTAATAACCGTTTACATCTCTAACATTGGTCAATCAAGGATTTCTTACAATTGTCAAACATTGATAATGTAATATGAGTTTCAAAAAAATGTTGGAAACTATATTGTTTTCATGAGTTTGTAGGTGTCATTACCAAGATTTGACTTGATAATTTCAAATAGATTTAGCCTTGAATAAATTGTTATAAATAAAGAAATATATTTGTAACATTTCAATGAGTAGAAAAATTAAGTTCACTTCTATTTGATGTTTGAGCTGATAATATCGATCAGAAGAACAATAAAGGTTCCATGACCAAAACATTCAGCTCACAGAAAAAAAACTCCATCAACAAATAGTTAAAATTTAAAGTAACGATAAGGAAGAGATCTACTTATTTTGTAAAAACCATTTCAGCATTGTTTCATAGGTAGCTAGTGCTTTCGATGTTTTAAAGATATGAATATGAAGAAAGCAACTAAATGTTGATGGACAGAAATCTTAACCGCTTCCTTGTTTCCCATTCTAGAATTGCACTACAATAAATGTCTTGAAAAGAATTCTACTAGTTCTAATAAACTTATGTTGTTGCTATACTCTACTTAATTGCTTTAAGCTGAAATAATTTAAGCGAACAATTTAAATTAATCAAATCATATTATACTGTTGCTTTTGTTTTATTCCAAACAAACGTATTAATGAATTTCTTGGTGTATAGTTAGTTCTACTTTTAATTATTTTAGTAGTACATTTTTATTACATCATTTGAATATTTTTATATGATACTAATGACCTAGGGTTGGATGGAGAATGCTGGTGAGCGGCCTATGCTCCTTCACGAGGAGTAACAGGCGTAAGTAAGTAAGTAAGTAATGACCTTGAGAGACTTATCAACCAATGAATAAACACTAATTTTGTTATTAAACAACAAAAAATAAACAATAAAATTACGATGGAGTAATGATTTCCAAACGATCAATTAACCTCTACACGTTAAATTATATATCATGGTAAAGGAAAATGTCTAGGTTTATATATAAGGAATTGGGTTATTGTTGTGAACTGAAGTTATAATGATACATCGTTTTCGTCATCAAATGGCATCATCCATAGCGCAGTGACGATTGTAACTCTTACGTTTCCAGGTTTAGGAAATTTAATGCTGATATTTTGAGTCCGATGTCATAGAGGGAGAATAATATTTAGCTACACGTATACCTTTGATTATGCACTAAAAATAGAAAGTACCTTAACGCATAATTTGCATCTGGAGCAAGTATTCGATGCATTTTAGGTTGAGCACCACGTTACAATTACAGCTTAGTTGCATAGTAGATATTTGTTGTATTTATTTGAAGTATTTTAAAAACCAAATGTCACCGATTTTCATTTAGGTAATGGTGTTATGAAAGTTATCTTTCTATGCAACCATGAGGCGCTATCTTAATTTTGAGTGATTCACTCTAGGTTGTCAGTGTAATATATCTTTACCATATACAACTTGAATATTTCAATGTTTTCAACTTCAAAGTAGCTTGAACCAATTCTGAAGAGAGAATCATCGATGTATTTTTTTATTCTGCCGTTGAGATGTTTGCATACATAATTTAACTTTTAATTTTGATGTATGTTGTCGTAAAATGGGTGTTCTAATGAAATTATACAAATGATTTTAAAATAAACTCGACCAATCTCTAAAACTACTATTTGTAGAGAAAAGACAATACGATTACCAAGGTTTCAAAGACCTTACACCATAAATCAATCTAAGCCGGTGTTTCTATACGCAAATCGAAAAAAATCTTGAACCTTTACGAAGATATACAAGAGTCTCTGTACTGTTCATGGGGAATGTTCAAAGTTACAATTAGATGTGTAGGGTTATGTCTAGGGAATCGTGTTTATAGTGATGTTTGGCGAAAGAGTTGAATAAGTTGTTTGATACAACCTATTCAGGTATAATTGAACATGTGATACCTTAAATACTATCATTTCTACTGTACGATAATAAACATTCTTCTTTCCTTATAACTTCAAGTACTCTGATCACTATACAGAGGTAGCACTGCTGACATATTCTACAGGATATTCAATAAAAATCAATCATTTTTTGAATATTGCTCAAAAACTCAAAGATTGTTTGAACAGTCCTGCTTGCCTCATTTCCAAACTGTGATTTTCACATATATTCTCGTTTTCTTTTTTCATTTCTTTATAGATAATATAAACGAATTAAATAAATCTGAACCTACTACACAAACTCAATATAGAAATACAACTAAAGATATAATTCAATCTAAAGAGAACAAACCAGGACAACCATATAGTATATCATATTTTACAAATCATTCTAGTTGTTTTTATCCTATTCATGAATTGAATCAGTCGAAAATCTATTATAACAATAATAATAATAATAATAATCAATTTTATCCATATAATTCAAATTGTAAACATGATCATAATCATCCTCATAATGAAAACAGTCGATTCACAGATATTTCATATCATTCCAATCAATTAAAGTCTAATATTAAAATGAACAATAAACTACCTTATAGAAGTAATACATTTCATATAAAATCATCAAATAATAATCATAATAATAATAATTCAATTCAATTAAAACATACTACTTATTCTCATCATCATTATGCTAAACATTGTTCATCATCATTAACTTCACATTCTATACCAGTTAATCGAATGTATCATTCAACTCCACCATTTACATTGAAACATTTATCAACTATACGAAATATGTATGAACAAAATGAATATTCTACAAAAATTGATAATAAAAATTATATTAATAATAATAATAATAATAATAATAATAATAATAATAATAATGATATATCTAATATCGAAAATCAATCTGAATCAAATTTATCATCACCATCATCATCATCACAATTATCACCATGTGATCGTCCACGTTTTTATAGTAGTAATATGATTTTATTAAAACCGCCAAATCATCATCCATGTATGAAATTAAAATATATTACAGAACAAATTCTATTAGCTAAATCAGTATTTGATGAAAATCATTATAAAAAACGATCAAATTCTTGGTCAGTTCATCGTGGTGTTAATCTAAAGTCTTGTAAGATTAATAAACATTTATTTATAATCAATTATTACTTTAATATGATATATATAGTAGTCAGATGTCGTTTATGCAAGAATTGAAAACGTGGTGATCAGTGTTACAGGTTAATATGTATTTTTAACAGTTGAAATCATGAGTAAATTGAAGCTAGACTCATGATCTCTACTGTTGAAATTACTACAGTCTACACAAAACCCCTTCTGACACTAATCAACATATGCTCATTAGTGACTGGCTTCAAGAGGTATATCCTGGAGTTCTAGTGAGAAGCAATGACCAGTAGAGTTCAACCGGGTCTGTTGTGGGATAGTAACTCACTGGTGACAATGGTGAATGTGTCGCTCAATTTCGTGGATTAGTTGAAGTTAGACATTAACACCCTTAGATGCCGGTTCAGTGGTCTAATCGTTAAGCGTTTGAGCGTGAGACTGATATGTTCTATGTTCGAATATCTCGAGGTGGGATCGTGAATGCGGACTGCTGAGCAGTCTCACAATAGGACGAAACGGCCGTTGAGTGGTTCCAAGTTTTAAATGATGGTCTAGCTTCAATCGAATCATGATCTCAACTGTAAAATTGCTGCAATCTTCACAAAACCCCTTCTGAAACGAATAAGTATTTCACAGAATGCATATGTTTTTATTCAACCTAATCATGGATCCGGAGCAGTTTTTTGATAACAGTCGGTGAAATTATTTTCCATGGTTTTAGAAAGGGTCTATCCTGCACAACAAACCTCCTTTTAGCAATGGAATTTTGGATAAAGGCACTAGACAACGGAAACTCAGGAGGTTGCCTACATAGACTTCAGTAAGGCTTTTGACAAGGTGCCAACAAATAGACTGCTATTGAAGTTGGAAAACCTTGGTATTGCTGGACCTCTCTTAAAATGGATTAAGGATTTCCTAGTAGGTCGTAGACAGAAGGTAAGAATAAATTCCAAGTGCTCCATCTGGAGACCAGTAATTTGTGGAGTACCTCAAGGTTCCGTCCTAAATCCTTTATTTTTTATAATGTATGTCAATGATCTTCCAAGTATAGTACAGTCTCCAATGTTATTATACGCTGACGATGTAAAGATCTGGCGAGTAATAACTGGAGACACAGACTCAGATGCTTTTCAAGCAGACCTAAATAATATAATTAACTGGTCTAAAGAGTGGCTGATGCATATCAACGCGGCAAAGTGTGTCTACATGCACTTCGGGGACTCAAATGTTAATAGGTATAACATAGGGGAAGTGCAATTACCAGTGGTTTGATCTCATAAGGATCTGGGGGTGACAGTAAGTCAGGATCTTAAGATGACGACCCATTGGCGGGAGGTTGCAGCTAAGGGGTTTCGAACCCTCTGGGCATTAAAACGGACACTCACTAAGCTAGAAACTATCATGTTCACCAAAGTGTACACGTCCTAAGTGAGAACTAAGCTTGAGAACTGCCTTCAGGCCGCAAGCCCGTGTTTAAAAGGTGACTTGGATATCCTAGAAAAAGTACAGGGGGCAGCTACCCGTGCAATTCCAGAACTCCGGGGTTTACCATACAAAGAACGGCTTGAAAAGCTAAATCTCTTCACTCTGTCCTATCGCAGATTAAGGGGAGATTTAATCTTGATGCACAGAATACTGAGAAATGATTTTGGACCTAACTTACTCTCTCTTTTTCTTCCCACTAGATCGGGACATCTCAGAGGACATAGCAGGAGAGTAGAAAAGCGAAGAACGAACAAAATACCCGTGGCATACAGGTTCTCACACAGAGTCATCAATACTTGGAACCTGCTGCCCGAAGCAGTGGTGTGCGCACCTTCAATTGACTCTTTCAAGAGAAGTCTGGACACTCACAGAAGCATACTAGAAAAGGAATAACATAGGCCGTAGGCCTTCTGTCCTTACTTTACAAATCTGAAATCTGAAATCTAAATCTGAAAAGAAAACTCCATGGAAAAAAAGAAATTCATGTTATCCATAGCTTTTATGAAGGATATTATGACTGAGTTACTCTAGACATAGTTTGCGTTGTGATGTATACTAGAGCTTCAAAAAACCCAGGAAGTTGAGAGAACATAGCATCATAATATCCTACACTATTCATTTATAGAACTTTACCGTTCTAATCAGGTATTGTAAATCCTCACTGTTATATCTCAAATGATATCCTCTTTAGAAATATACGGACTGTGTTAAGCATAGGAAATCATCAGTACGTTTCGTCCTTTGTAAATATCGTCACTTAAATTTTGCGTCATTTCCATACTGATGCTCAAGATCAGATTCGAACCTACTAGCTATTGTTTAAAAAGATCAACAAGGTAGTCTAAAACGTTAGGATGAACCAGAGTGACTTAAAATGACTTCGACAGTGCAAAGTCATTTTTAGACAATCAGAGGACATTTTATAAAGTGATCATTTCCTAATAGAAAGAATGAAACAAAAATAAAATTTAAATAAACATCAAATTATAATGTGAGTTGAAAATTTTGTAGAGTTAATAGACATCCCTGAGATCTGAAGTCAAAAAACGTAAAGTGTAAATTAACAATTAAATGGTGAAAAATGAATTCCTTCATCAGTGTTTATACTGGAGATAGTTTTTCAGTCGTAATCATACTGTCTTAACGGTCTTTGCATAGACTGATCATAACCTTTAATTAGCATCATATTCTTACTACAGTCTTATAAAAAAAATGGTCTCGTATTGCAGATTATTTCTTCACATTTTGATACCTGATTGGCTTGTCTTTATACTTTTGTCCAATTATCCCAATTATTTTTTACCAAAACTAGTGATTTAAATAAGTCACTAACTAGTACAATTGGTAATAAGTTATGTGTATGAGTTCGTAATTTCTTGCTACTAATATCAAGGACTTCAATAGATCAGTCTCTGTTTGTAAATATTCATTTTTACTACTAATCACAATCTAAATAAACTGAAAACTGACAAATAAAGGAAGATATTAAAGAAATCCTATCAGAAAGCATATATCTCGATAAGAACTGATCAATTACAGTCATTACTATCATCGATTAAAACATAAGAATCCTTGCTTAAGAAAGATTCAGTCTTTTTGTTTTAAAAACCAAGTTTTTACTTGTGTTAAAAAGAAAAAGACTGAGATGTATACAGTCAGTTGTTTTTTTTCTCAAAATTGTTTTATTCCAGACAAATGTGAAAGATCGAGTAATTTGGAAAGTGAAGATGATTTTAGCACAGATGGAACTGGAAGGTAGATACTTACCTTTATTATTTTTATTGCTATATATATATATATATATATATATATATATATATATATATATATATATAAAGGATAAGTAATGAGTAGCTATTCATCAGATTTTGATGTATATGTATGATATCTTAAAACGAATATGATTTCTATCATCGTTGAAGATACATTATTGGACAGAGGTTAATTTTCACAAAACGTCTATGGTTACATGTCGACAGACTGTAACTGACTACCATTAAATAAAATATATTACAATGTTCAATCACTCAGATTATTGGTCATATATCAATGCGATCAACAGCACAAATTCATTTTGTATTGTTTGTTTGAATCTTCTCATTAATGTTTAGGAATACAATTGATGAGCCTTAAATATGACGAAACGTGCGTCTTGGATTCCACTGCTAGCCATCATTTATCTTTGCTTATAAAAGTATCCAAATGTTTATTTGATCATATGTCCTGACATAAAAATCTAACCAAATCATTTATTTACTTGTAACTCGGAAGAATTGAGACCAACGTATAACTAATGCGATTTAGCTTATCATAAGACTGAGGACTTTAATTAAATCCTAACAAACTACTTTTTTTACAATATAAAAGTCAAATATTTACATTATTGTCTTTAAACCTCGGAAAACGTTTTTTTTAGAACGAAACAATGAAATTTAGTTAAGTTTGGATTCACAATCTTTTCATGGAAATGCGATCAGTGATATTACAGAGTTCCTAGGAATCATTTGACATTACCAGTGCTAGTTTTTGCTAACTGGTAACTAGTAATAAATATCGACTGCATTCACAGTAGTATATCCTGATTAATACGATAAATTCAATCTATAACATTACAGATAATTATTTACATATCACTAACTTGTTATCAGCTATAAACATGGACGTTAATCAAACATTTAAACCAATTTACTACTACAGTTTCTGTTCAATGTCGAAATAAATACAGCTGCATGAGAACTTATCATACATCAAAGACTAAAATGTGTGGTAAATTCATTTGGTGTTGTTTAACTTGTATCTTCCTATTGTTATTTAAGACTAATTAATCAGTCTCTTGTTGGCATATGTGCATCTTGTACAGATTGCCTCCATATTATCCTTAAGACACAAGCTTTATAAGCAAAGATGGATAGTGGCTAGCAGTGAAAGCCAGTTTGACTGGCATTTCGTCTTATCTGGGACTCGTCAGCTAGATGTACCTGTATGATGCTTAAGTTAGTTTGAACAAGCAGAATAAACAGTAAAAGTTATTACAACTTTTTGTTCATACATAATATGAGTTGCATAATAAAAAATTAAATCCTTGAAGATTTAACTCTAAACAATCACGTAAGACAAAAATAAAATGTAACTGACAAATAAGTCAAATACATCAAAAAAATTAACTGTTTTATGTAATAATACTTACATCAATAATGATGATAATAATTGTGAACAAGATATATGTGAACCAACAGTTAGTCAGAATCAATCTGAAGATGCATTCGAATTAGTTTAAGTATCAGTGATAGGCAAAGAGATTAGATATATAGAAAAAGGTGAATAAAATTTTTGGGAAAAAACCGAAAAAGATGTGGGATGTTGAAAATGTAACAAATTTTCGAAAAAAGAATTCGGTAACAATCATCACTCTTCAAATGTATCTCAAAAGACTTACAATTGATTGATCACTGGGTGGTGATCAATATCATGTATGTCAGGTCCTTCTTAGTGGAGATGGAATGCTATCAACCAAGTTGCAATGTGGCCACTAGTCTAGGCGACTCGACATTGAGTGCACGATGTTGAAATAGGATCGTGGTTGGAGGTAGTCAACAGGAAACCCTGGACCTAGGTTTCGTGCTACTTGGCACTCGTCAGCAAGTTGTATCTGTAATCTTGAGGAAATAGATGCTCTCGGATGGATTCGATCCCGTGTCATCCACCTTCACAGTCAGAGACGTTACCACTCAGCTATTTGGACTGCAACTGACTACCTGTAGGACTGAGATTTATTTAAAAATGACTGATCACAGGGTGGTGATCAATGTTATGTGTGTCAGGTCCTTCTTAGTGCAGGTCAGCTGCAACCCGGAGAGTTTACTGGTAACGTCGTTGAATGTGAAGCTGGGTGACACGGGATCGAATCCGTCCGGGGGCATCTATTCCCTCAAGATTACAGATACAACTTGCTGATGAGTGCCGAGTAGCACGAAACCTAGGTCCATGGTTTCCTGTTGACTACCTCCAACCACTATCGTTTCTCAGGACATTACTCAGAGTGGATTTCAAAAAGAGAATGCAAAACAGTCATCAGTTCAATAAAGGATTACCTAATCAACTCCAAAAGTGTCTTCTGCCAAAATAATCTATAAAATTAAAGGATCTGGATCGAAAGGAGGTTGAATCAAAAACATGTGCACTGCTGAGGCGTTAAGAATCTGCTAATTCATGCCCAAATTATCTGTGTGCAATATCGATACATCTAACCTTTTATCCTTCTTTGACCCTTATTCTCTTCTGTAGGATGTTTTGGTTGTTTTCTTTTCGAATTTGTATTTTGTAATATTAAACTGTAATCGGTTATTATTATTATCCTTTAATCATTTTTCATGATTATTATTCAGTTATTATTATGACCTTTATGTTTTTCGTTTTTTTTTTCTTCATATCTATCAAATGGACAATTATCTTTCATAATTTTGACCCGTAAATTATTTTCATCCTTCTATTCTTAGCTAACTCCCTGATTATTACGTAACCACCTTTGATAATTAGAATCTCGAATCTGTTTATGATGAAATCTTTCCTTCTATTCTATCAGCATATACCATATAACTATAAATATGAATGTATAGCTTTAGAAAACGATGTCGTTTAAAAGGCAAATTTCTTCATTGAATTGTCTTAATTTTCACAAAATATTCAATAAATTATTTATAAAATAGAGTATTTGTAGTGAGCTTTTGTAGGTCTTAAGTTCTATCCCTATGGGGTTTGAGGGTACAGAGATCTGAGATCCCATACGCTATAATGAAACAGTCATTTAGTGCTTCTTAACTATATAGTGAACGAGAACTTAGTTGGGAAAGATCAATTTAATACTTGATAAAATACCACATAATATCCTGGTAAAATATGAAAACCGTACATTGAGTACTTCATTTGCACACTTCATCGTTCCTTCATTCCTGTTGTTATTACAATTACGATCTGTTTACATTTTTGTTCTTTTCAATTCGATCTTCTCAACCTTCTCTTGCTAGACATTCCACTTCTGATTGGTGCTACCTACTACTAACCTCAAACACACAATAGTTAGGTTTACACTATTAAAGCACTTGTTTCATTTTAAGGACCGTTTTATATTGAACACCATTCCAATTAATTGTGTACAGAAGGAAATTCTACATTTAATGGTTACCATTTAACTTTGAATAAGTAAAAAAAATTTTTGATGGAATAGCTTTATGAAGATTATTTTATTCTGTTGGTGATACTTATCTGAAACTGGTTTCATTTCGCGTACCATTAAAAGTCAGAAAGTGCTGAATAAAAATGAGACTATTTAGTAGTACATACTCAATAATCTGCTTATTACAGGATCGAGAAGCTTTTGGTTGCCAGGCAATTTCCCTTTAGGAGTTTAATACTAAATGATACACCAGCTATGATCAACTCATGTTGAATATAACTTACAGATTGTGTTTTGAAAACAAAATTACCGAAAAGTATTGAATTTCTCTTTTTCTCTATTATTAGACCATCGGAATGTGAATTCAATATCCCATTTAATGATATAAAATTACTTAGATGTTTACAAAAAGGTAAACGTAAAGCAATTTATAAGTAAGTCATTTATTGCATTCTGTCGAAAATGTAATGTACGCGTTTTATGATTCGGATAGAGTGTCTAACTTTTAATTTGTTAAGTTTTAAATCGCTCATGAGATTTTATTTTTTATGTTCTGATTAATGCTAATTTGTTGGGTAAAACAGTTTGATAATCACTCCGCCTGTAGCTCTTCTAGAGGTACTGCCGGTACCAAGCCCGAGTAAAAGAGGAGGGTTGGGCAAGGGGTTAGTGACCCCATCCCGTAGAAAACCAACTGGCTAAAAAAAACTCTAAAAAAGCTATATAAATGATACTTAAGTTGGCAATAATCAATAGAATGAACCTGAGATCTGGTGTTTTACACTCCTGAAACGAATAACGACGTTAATGTTCACAAACTTGGAAGCTAATGTACTAATGATAAATCATAAATTTCTCTTTTTAAAATGGAATATTTCGGTAGTGTCTTGTGATTTGACCTGCATGGTTTAATTCCTGAGCTTTCATTGTCGTTCAGGTCAACCTTTTCAGTGCTTACTATGTGTTGATGTTGTCCAGGGAGACGATGATAGCTTAGGAGTCAAACCACGTAACTCAAAGCTCAGAACACTACCAAAATATTCCATCTTCATAAAAGAAATTTCCGACTTACTAGTAAGATGACGTTTTTCAAGTGTCTCAATTTAATACTAATTAAGGTAATTCCCCCTGATATATATGTTTAGGAGATGTATTTGAATAGGCATATTTTGTTCATTCGCTTGAGTTTTACTAGTTATTGGTTGACCGCACTCGATAGAAAATAGAACTTGTAATGGGTCTATTTGAGTCTTATGTAACTAAGCTCCGTGTAGCAGAAATCCTATAGGCTTGTATTTCTGTTCACGTGACCCAAAGTTTGTTATTTAGGCAAAGTAATTCAAATGTTTAAAATTTCATGAACCACTCTCTGAAAATTCAGTTGGTCTTTGTATTAAATTTCATTTAGAGTGTGTACATTCATTTAAGAAGGTGAATGGGGAAACCAATAGACTGGAAAGAATGTATATATATATATATATATATATATATATATACATGCAAGCGGAAGGAGATAAACGATATCGTATAATTTCCATCATAGTACTTCTAAAAGTAAACCATGTTCTAAATTTAATTTGAAAGGCTTCGTGTAGACCGTTTTAATTTTTTGGCTGTATTCTTAACAGGCTGATCTCAGTTAAGATAATTGTATTCAATGTTGTAATTGTACTGTTGGACCTCATCCCTTTAGTTCTAATGCTTAAGCGCTTATTTCTAGACGCAAATTTCCTAGATTCGATCCTTGTCGATGTCATGAATAGACGCTGCTGAACAGTTCTTTTGTTAGGATGATATACACAACCAGTTGTCCATTAGTTTACAAAGGTTTCATAACTAAGATTAGTTTGTGATGAATATAACCCAGAAATCTAAAATCCTTTGTTTTTGCTATCAAATGTTATTAAAGTAACCATGTGGTATATAATAACAAGCTTAAATGTTGTTTTACTACTGATATTTAGTAATATACAGAGTAAAAGGTAATGGTACTGAATCCATTGTTTCAGGTTGGGAAAATGTATTTCGTTTTAGATATACTATACCTTCCTACAATCTACTCTAGTTTCAGCTTCATTTTGTTAAGCACAAATAAACTGATTTTAAACCTAATATGAGCCTATAATAACTAAAACTGATAAGGAACTAGTTATGTCTTCTAATTATTATAAACAATATATATATATATATATATATATATATATATATATATTGATTTGAAATTAATAAGTGATTCCCTATCCCCAGCATCTATTACCTTCCAAGGATTATTATCATTTTTCACATAAGAAAGATAGTAATCAATAAATGTTTGACATAAATAATCCTTTTTTTGAAATGGTCTGCCCTGTTCAATATACTGATATCATTAACTATACTTAAAATCCCATAAATAAATCCTACTTATCTATTCACTACTAAATCTTAGGTATATGATCTAATTTTGATAAATTTCATTTGGTGGAAAAATAAAATTTCATTAATGAACTGAATATACTATTGAATATATACAAAATTTACTGAACAAAATGAGATAAAATAGAAGAGTGAAAAATAAAAGGATAAATAGTAGAAAAACTGATGGATAAAATATAAAGATTAAATATTTAAACGGTCATCCGGTTCTTCCAGGTTTTCTTTGATGGTCTAGCTTCACCTGGACCATGAATTCAACTATTAAATTACTATAATATCCACAAAACCCCTCTCTAATTATAATCATCATGTGCTTACTAGTGACAGTCTCCAAAAGACATTTCCTGGAGTTCTAGTGAGAGGCAGTGATCAATGGAGTTTAACCGTGTCTGTTGTGACATAATAACTCACTGATGCCAATGATGGACAGTGGCGCAACTTTGTGGATTAGTTGAAGTTAAACACTAACACCGTTGGATACTGGTTCAGTGGTCTAGAGATTAAGCGCTGGGACATGAGACTGACAGGTATTGTGTTTGGATCTCGTGAGGCGGGATCGTGAATGCGCACTGCTGAGGAGTCCCATATTAAGATGAATCGGCCATCCAGTGCTTTCAGGTTTTCCATGAAACTAAATTTCTGTGTGAAACAGGGGATAAAATTTTTTTAAAGTTAATCACTTTCAAGCATCAGAAAATAAAAGCTGATCATCAGTAATATATAGATGTTTTATTTTCTTGAAAAATAACTTGAAGATAGATTAAGTTTACATTTTATTTTAACTCTAACATTCAATTACTATTTAGATGGAGTTTTATTCTCAGGTAGAAGTTTATATTGATAATGTTATTCAGAAGAACAATCAAATCTTCATAACTAAACCATCCAGCTTACAGAACAAAACTCCACCATAATCATTCATTTTTTCCACCTTCTCAAAATTGAACAACCGTATTTTGCGTTAGAGTTTTCAATGTATTAATAATAAATAAAGTATTTCACGATATTCAGACAACCCAATTAATATTGTCGCATATAATTAGATATGAGTTTATAAACCTTAAACAATATCACTCAACTATATCATATTGGAATAGCCTAAACAGAATACTAATGAATTATTCCATGTATTTTTAAGATTGACATTCTCATTACTGTATATGAATGAGTTATTCAAATTAGTTACTTAGAGGAATTGAAGAAGTGACTAACACTTTAAAACAGATTCTTATCATCATGGTGTAAATTCAATTCTGCATGCTTGAATATATAAATATGCATGTACATAATATAAATAAACAACTGAAGAACCCGGTGATAAATTTAGCGAAAACAATCGTTCTTTCTAATACTCTATGTAAATATGAAAAAAACGAGATAAAGTTGGTATAGGATAGTGTGGGATATAAGAAACATTAAAAACCACTGAAGAATTCGGTCATACAATGTACTTTATCTAAGAACATGAATGAACAAGTAAAAGTTATACATCTTTATTGAATGATCACTGAAGTCGTTAACGTGAATGTTACCATTCAGTAAATATAATTTAGTATACACATGTTTATATTCATTATCAGTACAATATCTAAATACTATAAACAAGTTGATTAGTAAATTTAGAATTAATATACAATAGTTGATAAAACAATTAAGAAACATTAACATTCTTTTATTATATTTTTTTTTCAACAGAGGTCAATGGCATGGTGATGTTGATGTACATATTTTTGAAGATTTGAGTCGTACAGAAAGAAAACGATTTTGGCAAGATATTACACGACTTATGATGACTAGACATGAAAATATTGCTTTATTTATGGGTGTATGTGTTGATCCACCTAATTTTGCCATTGTAACTAGGTAAGTTTCAAAGATTAAGTGAAATTATTTAACGAAGTAATATATTTTATTCACATATGATTATACTATCAAAGTATAATTAATTTATTCCGTCATTAGAAATATGTTGAAAGTGAAAGGTTCTATAGACTTAAACAATGCAATATCTCGACATCTAATCAATAGCGGTAATTACTGTCGAATTCCTAAAATTTAAAAAAAAAGATAATTAACAGATGTAACAGTGTAATTTTATTAGGCTTCGTTGTAGGCATTCATGACTACACCAGAAGTGAAACCAATGACTTTTGAGGTCTTCTGTGTTAGTTTTAGACTACTGAATTAATGTATACTACGTTACACTTTCAATATCAGTCAACTTATATCAAAGTACAAGAAGAAAAACCATATAGTTACAAACTGATTCATATATATTTAGGCAAAGATGGAAAGTGGCTAGCAGTGGAATCCAGTTTGGCGCGCGTTTCATCCTATTTGGGACTCGTCAGCTGGATGCCAACATTAGATTGATCAATTTCAGTCCTAAATAACAATCGGAAGATACAAGTAAAACGACACCAAGTGAATTTAAATTTCACCCCATTATACAAGCAAGTGGCTATCAGGACTCAGTAGCTAAATGGATAACGCGATTGCGTTTGAAGCGAACGGTACTGGGTTCGAGTCTCGGAGTGAACATCAACTCTGAGATGCAGGTAGATCCAGCTGACGAGTGCCAAATAGGAGGAAACGCGCGTCAAACTGCATTCTACTGCTAGCCACTATCCATCTTTGCTTAGAATGCTTGTAAATTAAGGCAATATCGAGGCATACGCACAGTATGCACATATGCCAATAACAGACTGAACAATTTCAGTGCTAAACATCAATGGGAAGATTCAAATGAAACAATATCAAGTGAATTAAACTTCACCCGATTGCACAAGCAAGTGGCTATCAGGACTCAGTAGCTAAATTGGTAACGCGATTGCGTTTGAAGCGAACGGTACTGTGTTCGAGTCTCGGAGTGAACATCAACTCTGGGATGCAGGCACACCTAGCTGACGAGTCTCAAATAGGACGAAATGCGAGTCAAACTGGCTTTCGCTGCTAGTCACTAACCACCTTTGTTTAAAAAGCTTGTGACTTAAGTCTATATCGAGGCAATCCGCACAGGATGCACGTATACCAACAAGAGACTGATCAATTGCAGTCTTCAATAACAATGGGAATTACAAGTAAAAACGACATCAAGGGAATTTGATTCATATATAATTAACTAACAGTAAATTGTAAGCTATAGTCACATAAAATCCAATAAATTTACATCACTGAACAGTGAACCAAGTTAATAAGCCTCATAGCAACTAATCTAAGAGAAGACAAGTTAAAAATAAATTACTCATTATAAATTAAAGTAGTAGAAAGAAAATTTTCAACTGTTTTAGAACAACATAAATATTGATATTTAACTCTATCCATTAACGTGACCTTATTTTATTGATTAGGTCAGCATTTTATTACAATTTTTAACATTTACATTCCTTTTTTTGTCAGTTTGTCTTTTCCTTATTTATTATCTTTTTCTTCCTGATTGTTTTTCTCTTCTTCCTATTTATTTGTAAATATTGAGGCACAATGATAATGTGAATTAATGTTTTAATATATGCAACTGTATTTCTTTATTGTAATTAAATTTTGGTTATCAGGAGGGGTTTTGTGGAGATTTTAGTTATTTCAATAATTTAAATCATGAGTCATTCGAAGCTAGATCACCATGGAAAACCTGAAAGCACTGGAAAGCTGTTTCGTCCTATTGTGTGACTCCTCAGCAATGCTCGTCCACGATCCCAATCTGCAAGATTAGAACCCAGGATCTATCAGTCTCGCGTGCGAGCACTTAACCATTAGGCCACTGAGCTGGACAGCATCCCACGGTGTTAATGTCTAACTCCAACCAATCCACGAAATTGCGGTTGTTGTTCACAGTGAAAATTGGTTCACTTCCTCAGATTACTGTTTATATTTGTATTATATTTCAATCAAGGTTTAAATCCATTCATTATTATGATATTAAATTCATTGTCAGATAAATCAAAATGTTTTCTTTATTGGCTGAATAAATTGTTTTATATATTGTATATTTTAACGGTTTCTACCTCAGTTGTTCGACCTAAGTTAGAAAATGAATATCTTAGTGTTTCTAACATGTTGCCAAGTATTCCTCAATAAAGACATGTTTGTCCTCAACCGATTAAATGGAAACTGGATCTATATGTGTCTGAACTGTAGGTACAAAGAAATCACTCATTAGTGATATAACTTGTGTTGAATCAAGTTTGTCGATTAATGCTGTGTTTCAATAGCTGAAATTACGAGTCAATTGAAGCTAGACCACCATGGAAAACCTGGAAGCTCTGGACGGCCTTTTCATCGAAGTATGGGACTTCTCAGCGAAACTGATAGGCCCTGGGTTCGAATCTTGCGGAGGGAGGCGGGATCGTGGATGCGCACTGATGAGGAGTCCATACTAGGCGAAACAGCCGTCCATTGCTTGCAGGTCTTCTATGGTGGTCTAGCTTCAATTGACTCATGATTTCAGCTATTGAAATTTCTAAAAATCTCCACAAAACCCCTTCTGATAGTAATTCTGTGTTTATTTATGAAATAACAGGCATCTAAATGATCATGATCTTTTAGTTCTGTTTACTAACAAAATAAAGAGGACTTGAAGAATATACTGAATGTTATTTCACATTTATTAACATGATTGACGATAAATTATTGAAAATAACTTTATAGTAGTCGTCTAGTATATGCTAACGTGAAGTATAGCAACTTAAGCCAATAAACATGTATTAAAGATCTACCTTTGTTTATCACTGATGAACAATTGCAAACTTAATAGTACAAAAGATGATATATGTGCATTCAATAACAATGCATGATTCGAATTCGGTGTATGGAAGGAGCTAAATACAAAACTCAGTAGTTCGGTTATAAGTGTTGGTCTACTGATGTTAAAAATTATATACATACATTATGTCACTGATTAACTAGTGCTAACTATTGTCCATTTCATGATGTGTGGATTTAACTACTGGTTACATGAGTAAACAATATATAACTCAATTTACTTTAATATATTTGTTAAAACAGTGATTCCGTCTCTTGTGGATCTGTCTCGTGGCATTTAATAAGTCATCGTCTACAGTCTTCTCTCCTCCTTAACATGTAGCGTTATCAGTCCTTGTTTACTTATACTGGGATAAGTAACCAGTTATAGTCGCAACATATAACAAGCAGTCACACTTGTATCATTATATCTATGATCGTACTACCTATACTTGGGAACTACCGTAACTCTAACAACGCGAAACGAAAACATAAAATGAAGAATTATCAACTCTTTAAAATTACGATCATAAAACAAGTAGTAGTCATTAATAAACCCAATACTCTCATTTTATATCGATTTTACACTTGATGACTATTAAATAAGTATCATATAAATAAGAAGATATTCAGGGTTACTTCAATATAAAAATGAAGTTCATATAGAATAATACAAAAAATATTAGTGTTAAACTGGGAAAAGTTCACACTTGTCATATCAAATGAAATTCATATGAACATATTGACCTGAAATAAAGTACCAATGCCGAATATAAAATCAATATCGTATTAACCAAAATGTTTCCCTGTGAGTAAAACCAACATCAAAATATCACAATGGGAATTAAATCAATCTCATAAAATATTACACTAAGTTAAAAAAAAAACATGAACTCATCAACCTTACTTATTTACGCCTGTTACTCACAATGGAGCATAGGCCGCCGACCAGTATTCTCCAACTCACTCTGTCCCACTCTACCTTCCTTTCCAGTTCTGTCTAATTTTCGTTCATTCTTCTCATATCTGTCTCGATTTCTGGGCGTAATGTGTTCTTTGGTCTTCCTCTCCTCCTCCTTTGACCTTGAGGATTCCATGTGAAGACTTGTCTTGTGACTGCGACTAGAGCTTCTCTAGAGCCATTGCCGGTTCCAAGCCCGGATAAAGGAGGAGAGTTGGGCATGTGTGTTAACGACGCCATCCCGTAGAAAACTAACTCGCTAAAAAAACGCTAATTCATCAACCTAACCCAATTTATCTAGTATTTTATTATGATACAACATTCGATCATTGTAATTATACCATTCAACAGAGAACAAATCAACATTCAAATGAGGTTTTTAGTAAGTAATTAATCAATCGCAACTTAAGTTAGTTTTACTAGGAATTAAAATTCTGCCATGAGTCACTGGTCATAAAGCTGCATAAAACAAGTATGTTTATTTCTTACTTTTAAGATCTCGAATCATCTCCACTTAGTTTTGATTTTAATTCTAACATACTAATATTTTGAATACTAGTTAGTACTAGTAATCATCACTATTTTAAATTAGTCATATGGATTTGTCTACATCTCGATGGTGGTGTTTACATTGAAACTCAAACTATTTAAGGATCATTTTAAATAACAAAGAACTATCCATTCATTGGTTTGTACATTTCTGTTGTTAATATTTATAACTCAACGGATTTACTTAAGTTAGCATAAGACTCCAGTAGAAAATGCTCTGAAGTTCTGAATAATTTGTACTAAATACAAATCTCACTGTGAACATTAATGCTGGAGTCCAGGCACAAAATTCGCATTTTATAACCTAATATTACATAATAATCAGAATACAATCAACTTGCGATAGATAGTCCATGACGAGGCAAATCTATTCTCCAGTTTACTTTGTCGTAATAAAGTTCTCATTCAATCGCAATGAATTTTCTGAAGCATTTCATTCAAATCGATTAGCAATCAGGAGGCACATCAATGTATACATAGTCTATGATCACATACATAAGAGAACAATCAGTTGCAAGGCTAGAGGTCAACTTGCAAAGACAGTCCAAATGAATGTAAGCATAAATGAAGTCAATAAAATCTATGGAGACAGCAAATCTTAAACGAAGCTATCAAACGCTTTGATATAATACTTCGGAACAACCCGGAGGTTTCATTCTACAAGGACTAAGCATTAAAGATATTGTCTAAAATGGCAGCTAAGGCTCTACAATTAAATCATCTAACTTGGAGAATAGAACACTAGCAAAAGTGTTCACTTGAGCTGAAAATGTTTACCATCATTAGAAAGAATTGAAATGAATTCAACTGCCTATTGTATTCCTTAAAATATATTGATATTTTTATTTATTATTTTCTAATGAGAACTGGAAATAACTTGGTTTCTGTTATTCTAACCCAAAACCTTGCATGATAATATACAATGATACAAGACAATAATACATTACGAATAATAAATCACAAACTATACATAACTAAGATCATTTATGAATAAAAAGTGAGTAGCAGGTCCATAATTAATCAATATTAATTTATATACGGTGAAAACCACGTCAATGGTTTCTGAATGAAATGAAAATATACAATTAAGACAGTGTAAAAGTACAATAAACCTGATATTTGGTAGCCATATATATGGCCACCGACCAGCATTTTCCAACCCACTTTGCCTTCCTTTCCAGTTCTGTCTAATTTTTGTTCATTCTTCTCATATCTGTCTCGATTTCTCGGCGTAATATGTTCTTTGGTCTTCCTCTCCACCTCCTTTGACCTTGAGGATTCCATGTGAAGACTTGCCTTGTGACTCCGCATGAATATATATATATATATATATATATACAACCTATTCAGTTGTATCTAACATTAACCATAGTAATTCAAATATTACGTAATCATCTATTTTATAAATCAATCATATTTTATTTCCACAAAAATATAATTCTCTATTTATACATTTCTCTTTTTCTCTTCCCTTTAAATGTAGTGCATGTAAAGGTATATCATTATACACTAAACTACATATAAAACGTGAAAAATTATCTCATACAAATCAATTATATTTATTACGTCAAATAGCTAATGCTATCACTTATTTACATAGTCGAAATAATCCTATTGTAGTACGTCGTTTATCTAGTAAAAATATTTTTTTAAAACCTAAAATGAATTTGTATTTAACAGATTATTCAATGGTAGATTGTGATTATCAAGTGTAAGTGAATTAATTCCTTTTTATTATATTCTTTATTCTTATTTATTTATTTATTATTGAAATAGAATACACTACTTATATTATATAAGATTCTACTTAAATTTTATAAAAAGCAAGACTATAATTTATGGACGACCTTTGAACGAAGCTTAAGTGACCTTGAGAAATATTAGCCAATCAGAAAACAGTTGGTATAGAATAAAAATATATTATATAAAACCAAAGAAATAAAATGGATACACTACTTATACGTGGTTCAAAAACTTGTCAGGGTTAGAAAGAGGTTCAGAGGTTCTAAAATCGTAATGTATACAGTAGAGGAAATCATCTATATGGCTACAGAATAGTTGGCCTCTGGAGATATGATAAAGTCGTGAAAACTCTTTCAGCCTCTGTCATATAGCTTCAATATTGTTTATGTGCACTCCGGTTGTTGAGTACACAAAATGCTAATTGTGGATAACGACATGATGCACATAACCATGCCTATGTAGGAGTCTGTACGCTCTACAATCATCCGTATATATTGTATTACCTGTCTGCAGCCAGTGTTACTGGTGCTTTTATTATCCAGTTCTCAATAATTGTCACAATTTGCCTTAGTTAGGAATTATATATGGGGTTTTCATCACGAACTGACAACAGCTATAATGCCAAAACTCTATTAAATCAAATGGATGGAAGAAATTTGCGCCAAAATTTAATATCTGTTATTTTATACCTGATTAATTCGTCCACAAATTATAGTCTCGCCGTTTTATTTGTTATAGCCACTCAATTGTATAAAATCCCCTGTGGACTGATCGCACGTTAGCATTAATTACTGAAGTTGACGCCATGACCTTGAAATCCCTCAAACGCTTCTTATTGGCCTGTCCATAAGTTATAGTCTCGTCGATGAAGTAGTACGGTATGCGGAGCAATTATGAATACCATTTTCATAATAGATAAAATGAAGAGTATATTACCGAGATAAGAATTATAAAATAATGAACTAATTAATAAAATGAAACTTGACGATTTTTTACGTTCATTTAGTGTGTGAGAGATGTATGTTAGGGTCTAGACCTTATTAGTGATCTCACTTCAAGACTTAAATTTCATTGTTTTTTATCTTCGATGTTAGGCTGTGCTGTACTAATATATTCATACTAGAGAGTTGGGGATGAATTTAGACGTCCAAAATGAATTTTGAAATGTAAAATACATTCTGAAATATTGAATTCACCTAACAAATGGGCAGAAACGGTTGGATCTAACACATCTGTTGAATATTAGAAACTTTGAGTATAACCATGCTTATCAAGCATTCATGCTCAGATTTGAATTACACCCAAACTAAGTAAAATCTCACAAAACATTCCAAATAATTAGCAGAAAACTAGCATAAATTTTCTCTGATTTTCAGAGGTAATCACAAGTGAACTTTTCCTACTTAAATTATTTATACAGAAGGGAAGTGTGACTAGCTTTATACGTTTGTCTAAACTTTGCAAACCGAATTGTATTAGGAATTGGATGGAGAATGCTGGTGGGCGACAAATGCTCCTCTGCGAGGGGTAACACGCGTAAGGAAGTTTTTGAATATTTAGTCGCCAAATTAAATTTTGGATTCCTAACTACAGATTATTCAAGTAAACATGGTACCGTTTTAATCGTAGTTATTTAGTATGGGAATATTTAATATTTGTTATAGGGATTGTGGTGGAGTTTTTGTACGGTCTAAGAAACCAATGTGCCTTATAAAAATTATTTTTATTAAGGAGTTGTAGAGATTGTTGTCCTTAATTGAAATCATCAAACCGATAAACAATGGAGCTAATTCTTATCAAATATGAGGCAGTTAATCCCCGTAAACAAATGGAAGATGGTCACGCAATATCGTTAAACTTGGACATTAACTCTGTTGGATCCCAGTTCAGTGGTCTAGAGGTTAGGTATTCGCACAAGACCGAAAGTGTTGGGTTTAACCTATCAAATGTGATATGCATAACTCTATGCATAATTAAACGTAGAATTTCCAAATCTTCTAAAGAGCACAAATTCTATAAACTATAGAGTTGAAACTCGTTTATTTTAAGATACTTTAACTCGTTTTATAAACAATGTTTTGAGATTGTAATGGACAGGCATATTATCCAAGCATGATCGAGTGTTAATATTTTCCGATAGTATGCACAGTATAACAAAATATGTCAAGTAGTATAGTATCAACGATATTAGATATTAAGGTTGAACTGTGTATTAACGCATTCACCCAGGTTACTGAGTTTCCTAGTTTCAATCTCTAAAAGAGTTCCATACTAGTGCAATATAGCTGTTCATTACATTCTGATTTTCAAAAAATCTCTAGTCAAAGTAGACTACAAACTGGAAAATTGATTACAAAACAAATCTAAAAAAAAAAATTATAAATATTAATGTGTTCTGTTGTTTGATTAAGTTATGACATAGACTTCCTACAGCACTTCAATTTCAGTGTACAAATACGAAAATTAGAATGAGTGAAAAGGTTTAACTCATAAAAGGGTTTATCTGACTAAAACAAAGACTTGTTAGCTGAGATTTTAAAAACGTTCATCATCTGTTTCTTTCACTACTATTTTCCATTTAGAATTTCTCACCGACCCTTTATAAGTAGGAGCACGTGGTATTTCCATATTAGTCGATCATATTAAATATCGATTGAGAATAACAATCTTTTCTCAATATTTAATAAAAGTAAAGTATCTTACATTTTCAAGTATTTTTCCGTCTCTTTAATATCAATGTTGCATATAAGTGTACTTTGCATTGACAACTTCATTTTAATCATATGAAGATATCTGTAATACATCTCAAGAAATTGAATAGATGATACAGTTTAAAATGAAATCTTCAGTGAAAATTAGGCTCTTTTATATAGAATCTGCTCAAATAAATGAATTCAAAATTACTAAATATTGTACATATATAGAATATTGATAGATGTACTTCAACTTCACAGACGTGTATATTATCCCTAAATATCGATATATTTGAAATAATATAAACAATAAAATCTTATTAGAAGGGGTTTTCTGGATATTATAGTAATTTCAATGGTTAAGATCATGGGTCAGTTAAAGCTATACCACCATGGAAAACCTGAAAACTCATGATCTCAACCATTGAAATAAAATCTTAATTTAAAGCAATTAGTCGTTTCTATAAATTTCGATAAAACAATGAGAAAACGGAGTTGATTTGAAAAATATGATGTATTTGTGCTATACATTTCGAAGAATTTCTGGTCCCGGACATTTTTATATGAAAATTAATAAAGGTCAATTAAATGAATGAATAAGTTGTCGCGTTATCTTAGGCCATAAAATGACTTAAGGATTATCAAGGTAAATTCAAGGTTACGACAAATTGTTTTTGTACACATAAGTGTGGAGGAGGTTTAGATTTATGAATAGCCAAGTCCTCAATAAACATCACATTTTTCACATCAACTCAATCTTCTCATTATTCTATCAAAATAAAATCTTAATTCATAACGATGATGATAAATAAAAATTTAATTTCAATTGTTGAAATCATGAATCAATTGAATCTAAACCACTATGTTAAACCTGGAAGCACTGAACGGCCGTTTCATTCGAGTATGGGACTCCTCATCAATGCGTATCCATGATGACTCTCCCCCCGCGCGATATTCGAACCCAGGACCTATCAGTCTTGCGTGAGAGCGCTTAACAATTAGGCCACTGAGTTGACCGGCATCCAACAGTGTTAATGTCTAACTTCAAACAATCTACGAAATTGCTCCACCGTACATCATTGTCTTCAGTGAGCTGATATCTCAAAACAAACCTGGTTGAACTCCACTGGTCACGGCTTCTTACTACAACTGCAAAAAAAATGTCTCTTGAAATCAGTCACTAGTGAGCGAATGATTATTATTAGAAGGTAGTCTAGTTTCAATTAACTCATAATTTTAACTATCGAAATAAAATCTTAATTCATAACGATGATGATAAATAAAAATTTAATTTCAATAGTTGAAATCATGAATCAATTGTATCTAAACCAATATATTAAACCTGGAAGTATTGAACGGTCGTTTCATTCTAGTATTGGACTCCTCATCAGTGTGCATCCATGATCCCGCTTCCCCCCACAGAGGGAATCAAACCGAAAACCTATCATTTTATTTTTATTTTTTTTTTTCATTTTATCACTATTTTATTCATTTTTATTTTATTTTATAAATAATAATTTAGACCAGATCATATTCCAATTCCATTAGATGGTGTAAAATATATAGCACCAGAATTATTAATTGTTATTGAAAAACAATTAGATAAATTATGTGAAAATAATAGTCAATTCATTATGAATAAATCAAAATTTATTCATTTACCCGAATATAATTTTTATCATAATAAATTATATACACCAATTCATTTAATAAATATACATAAATTAAATCAATATAATTCATTCAATAATAAACAATTTATTAGATCTCATTCAATTAAATCAACATTAATGAAATCCTCATCATTATCATCATCCTCCTCCTCCTTATCCTCATCATCAACATCATCATCAATAATATACAATACACAATATATGAAATTATTTAAATCATGGTCTAATATCAATCATGTAATTGATAAATCAAAATTAATAAAATCTATATCATTACCAAATATTTATTTATCAGAACAATTAATTTATGATAAAAATAAAAATAATAAAAAATTAATTCAATTTATTAAATCGAATAAAATGAATTTAATTAAAACAATTCGTCAATTTATAAAAAAAACAGAAAAAAAAAATTTATTGATTAAATGTGTACATATACCTGTTACAGAATTTACTACTTATTCGGATATATTTGCATTTGGGTAAGATTATAATATACTTTTTATTTTTTTTTATTTTTGTATATAAAAGAAAAACCAAAAAAAAATCTAATGTAATTCACTTGATATTGTTTTATTTGAATCTTCCCAATGGTGTTTAGAACTGTAATTGATCAGTCTCTCTTATTGGTATATGTGCATACTGTGCGTATTGCCTTGATATTGCCTTAATTTACAAGCATTATAAGCAAAGATGAATAGTGGCTAGCAGTAGAATGCAATTTGACTCGCGTTTCGTCCTATTTGGGACTCGTCATCTGAATGCACATATGCCAATAAGAGACTGATCAATTGCAGTCCTAAATATCAATGGGAAGATTCAAGTAAAAAAAATATCAAGTGAATTAAACATCACCCCATTGCACAAGCAAGTGACTATCAGGACTCAGTAGCTGAGTGGATAACGCGATTGCGTTTGAAGCGAACGGTACTGGGTTCGAGTCTCGGAGTGAACATCAACTCTGAGATGCAGGTACATCCATCTGACAAGTTCCAAGTAGGACGAAACGCGAGTCAAACTGCATTCCACTGCTAGCCACTATCCACCTTTACTTAAAATCAAAAGTAAATTTAGATTTCATTATTGTTGGGCGTGTTTTTTTTGGGGGGGGGATTTTAGCTGAAAACAATACAATAACTTGTAGGTATTCTTATAAGAATGATAAGTATGTTAGATTTATATGAAATAGGATCGATGATAAAGATAAACAGATTTTATGTGAATAATATTTAAGGATTGTAAATGTTTTTGAAGAACAGATTAGAGAAAATCTGGTTGGTTTTTATCCTGGACGTAGTTGTATAGACCGTATATTCATATTACGTTAGGTCCTAGAATATAGATACATATTCAAATGCACCATAGTCGTAGTATTTCTTAAGTTTAAAGGGGTATTTGACACTGTTATATGGTAGTGTACCAAAGAAGTACACTAACCTTATACAGCTTCTTTACACGAACACAACTGGTGGAGTGAAAGCTTATGACAAACAGTCATCAGAATTGATTACTTCAAGTGGTGTTCGTCAGGGTTGTCCACTCTCTTCATCCTTGTTCAAATTTGTCGTTGACTTGGTTTTACAAATAATACATTCCTCATCTAAGTTTCCAGGAGTTGAACTTCTACCGGGAGATTCACTTGTTGACTTAGAATATGCCGATGAACTTATTAATTAAACCATATTATATTGATGATAGTTTAATGTTAACTTTAATATATAATCTATAGAATATTTAATTTTATAGCTTTTCAAACTTAATTTGAAAGAGTAATATTTAATGGTTGAAATCGTGAGTCAATTGAAGCTAGATCACCATGGATAACCTGGAAGTGTTGGACAGCTGTTTCGTCCTAGTGTGCGACTCTTCAGCAGTGCCCATCCACGATCCCGCCTCAAGAGATTCGAAACAAGGACCTATCGGTCTCGCTCGTGAAAGCTTAACCTCTAGTTGAGCGTGTCGACCGCTTCACCTATCTTGAAAGTCTCATCAGCTATTGTGGTCTGATGTGTGACGAAATCTCAACACAGATACAAAAGGCTCGACTAGTTTTTGCCAACTTGCGTCATTTGTGGCGTAGGCGAGATATCCGTCTATCAACCAAAGGACGTGTTTACTGCGCAGCAGTTCGTTCCGTCCTACTTTATAGCAGTGAAACATGGCCAGTAAGAGTAGAGGATATTCGTAGGTTACTAGTATTTGATCATAGGTGTCTTCGAAACATTGCTCGTATATCCTGGGACGACCGAGTAAGTAATGCAGTTGTTATGAAACGGGTACTAGGTAAGGATGACAAATAAATTGATGAAGTAGTGAAACAATCAGTTGAGATGGCTGGGACATGTGTTACGCATGCCCGACCACTGACTGCCCCGACGTGCGATGTTTTATGGTGTAGGAGTAGGTTGGAAGAAAACTAGGGGCAGTCAGACCAAAACATGGCACAAATCCATGAAGTCGCTGACAAGTGAACTGAGTGAGCCATGTTGGTAGGTATAGACTACTTGGTTGGGGTCCGCGAGATGATAGCAACCGATGGTTAGAGATCTTGAATGACATGGCTCAAAATGCAATGGCGCAGGTGCATCCACTTTTTGTGTACTCCCAAATTCTAATTTATTGAATTCTTCATGTCCCTTTCTTTTTTTTTCTCTTTTCAAATTTATTCCACTGGATTATACTCCTTGAATAACATATTCAAACCCTAATCTTTCCGATTACTGTTTATACTTTTACCACCTCTACCACTACAGGATTTGAATCGACAATTGTATCTCTGACAACTCGAACTGATGTACGTACGTACGAAGTTCTACGTACGTTGCTGACTGACTGAAATGGTTTATAACCTCTATCATATGAAAATACTGGTATATGAACAAAGAATATTCTCTGCAGTAAATTCTATCTGGATCCTAAAATTATATTATCTAAAGTAATAATCCAAAATAGACCACGTTTAAGATAAACAAGTCATTGAAATTTATTACATGTGAATTTAGGATTATTTAAGAAATAAAGTAAATAATGGATAATATGGAGAAAATATTGACTGTGTGAATTATACTCAATAAGTAAACAGATATTAAGTGGGATATGTATGAACAAATTAAACATAGTTCAACTGTAAAAAATGATTCAGCTCTGACCAAAGATGATAATTCGTTACGATGACTAGATTTGCCTATCATGATAACACAAGAGGAATTATTACTTGGAAACCTTGCTACCTAAGTTCCCAACATACTGAGAAATTACATTTAATCTTACCATTCTTTAACCTAGCACAGTTAGGGTACCAGTTAAAAATTGTACTGCTTACTGTAGTACGATAAGAAGGGATTTCACCAAGAGAATGTTTCCAAATATCCTGTCTCCTCATAAACAGTATTTATATATGGTGCAAATTAGGTTTACAGAAGAAACAATTACGTTAAAATTGTTTACAAACTGATTGTAAACAATTTCTACAATCGATTTTACGAGCTATAACCTGTTAGTATAAATGTGTTTCTTTATTCTAACAGTGTAATAAGAAGACAATGATTGTCAGAACTATGTGATACATTAGCGCAATACATTTCGAACAATCCGATCACATATTTATATATAAAAATTATAGTTTAACTAGGCTAGAAATAGAGGATATGAGAAAACAACGATAATAAAGAAAATAACGTGTAAAACAGTATGAAACTCATCACACTGGATATTACCAGGGTAGCTTTAAGGTAGGAACAAACTATTTTTGAATAGGGATAGGGAAGATTGAATTTTCGTATGGTCAATGCTTCAATAAACAATAGTATACGCCCTTTAACACTTTTGTACAACACTACAAAAGCCGTGTTTAGATCAATTTTATGGCCTGTTTCAATTATATTTTTTGGCAATTATATAATTCTGGTAATCTTCATCTTCTTATTACAACATCCAATTTGATAAAAGGGACTAATTGCTTCTTTATTATTTAACATGCGAATAATATTAGTAAATTTATTTTTAGAAATTACTTTCTATCTACTTGTACTGTTAATTTCACTATAGAACAATCATATTTGAAATAAACACTCGATGCTATCCATATGAAGATTTGGATTTATGTCACTGTATTAAATATTTATTGGATGGTCAGCGAGATGATGGTCGTGCATACTGCATACCAAGTTCCATGAAGGTATGTTTTGTATAATAGAACATAATTTCAAAGGTTTTATTTTCAATCGATCTAGTAAGAATGAAAATAATTCTTGCATGTAGACCATTAAATTATCAGTGATATGACCGAATCTATTATCATATGAAAATCGGAATGGATTTCAAATGAATCAACAGAGAATACGATTTTTACCCACAGAGCCATGCACAATCAGAAACCAAACGAACGATTGATCACAATATAAAATATCTCCTAATTAAAAATTTCTATATTTTTATTATCTACTAAACAATGATAAATAAGTAGTTCTCAAGTCAATTGGTACAGCAAAATAAATAAGTACGAATTTACGTACTCGGCTCAGAGATACTTTTCGTATAGTAGCTACTAATAGTATGCAGAATGAAGTAGAAGAATAGATGGTTGGACTGACGAGTCAATAATTGGAAGACAAGTTCTTTCCACACTAATAAATACTTAGAAGACTTTTGTGAAAAGGCTATCATGTTTACGTACTCTTATCAGTGGCATAAATCAACAACCAATAAATCGATGAAGATTTTCTGATGTAGTTAACATTAGATTAGGTGCTGTGTAGTTCAGATATTTTATTATGCGTTCTCGAGCGAGATAATTATAACAATTAATGTTGAAAAGAGTAGAGTGATTAACTTCCGAATTCATTTTTTTCACTAGATGCGATAGTAGGCACTCCTTATCGTAGGATTTATGCTGAGAACTTTGGAAACAATTTTAAGAAAATTTCTAACTCTGTTATTTCTCTGTATAGGGTTGCGATGATTGTTGAGATCATCAACCGATTAATGTTAGACCACCAATGAAGGCCTAGGCGCACTGAATAGCCATTTTATCCTGGTATGGAGCTCTTTAGAAGTGCACATCTACGATCTCACACGCGGGACCAGAACCTAGGACCTGCAGTTTCGCGCGAACGCCTAACCCCCAAACCATCGTGCCGAGATACAAGTGTTCATGTCTAACATCAACCAATCCACGATATAGAGTGACTAGGTTCCATTTGTTATTTCTGACATTCCGTTTCGACCATTATTTAACCACTTATAAAACAAGTTTAGACTGATAGAATAACCTGATTTGCCAAGTATACACAAGATAAATCTATCATGCCAGACTAAATGTACAGCGAATACTCGAAATAGGTACTAAAACGGTTTTAACTGGTAGATAATGAGGTGCAACAAATTTTTGGTTTCTGTTTGCTACAATATCAACCGCGTTATAAGCCAATTAATATAAAAATCTGTCCTGTAATTATTACGCAATAAATGAGAATCGAAACTAGATA